AGTAAATTTCATCTTCTAGCAGTATAGACAGATCATTACTTCCAGCGATTTACCGCCTCATCGTGGCTAGGAGTTCCTGGGTGTCGGGTTGCGATATAGAGCGGAGGATTCACCATCCTGGTAGGGTCTCCCATGCTGAGAATGAGTCCGATGTTTTCATTAGGAAGCATAGCTAAGAGCATACTAATACTAGGATCCACCACCGTCCTGGTATCAAAGTCGCATGGTGGCAAATCTCCCTCTGATCCAAACGGGCTGCGACTGCCTGTGGTGGTGAAGACGTGGGCCAAACTTTGGCCAGGCTGACCTCGGGATTCCAAGCAGCCATAATAGCTTAATCTTAACCCTTTTATTTACTGCCTTTTTTTTGAATGGCAGGGTATGTTGCGAAATATAACTCGTTTATAATGCTAAGATATTTGCAAAACTCCGGACCGCAGGTGTATGCGGTGGGGAACGAACGCGCTATTGTCCTTACCGGGGAGTAGCGCACTTCACCACCACACCATCCGGGTCTTTAGTTTTGCCTGTCTCTCAGCTAGTTCGCAACATATCCTGCCATTAAAAAGAAAAAGGCAGTAAATAAAAGGGTTAAGATTGTGATTATAACTAAGCCTCAGCTTAACTGGGTTCAATACCGATTTGGGCTCCCCAGATCAATCTCGTTGACGGGTGATTTCTGATGGCAAAAGATCAATAGAACTAACTGAGAGACAGGCAGAACGAAGGACCCGGATGGTGTGGTGGTGAAGTGCGCTACTCCCCGGTAAGGACAATAGCGCGCGTTCGTTCCCCACCGCATACATCTGCGGTCCAGAGTTTTGCAAATATCTCGGCATTATATACGAGTCATAATACCTTAATCAGAAATTCTCCGAAAAATGGAGATTATGCTGGGGTCCGCACAACCAGTGAGGACGGGCCATTCAAGTATCAAGTAAGGCATACCATTCGGATGTATAGTTTCTACAACTCTATAAATCCGTACTAGTAAACTCGGTAGATCGGGACTTCTTTGAGGCTATCAACGATGGACTTTAAGTCAATCTGGATTTTTAGGTTATTTTTCATAGCTTTTTAGGACATTTCTAGTAATACTGTGTTATTTGTGTAATGAGACCTTAACATAACTCACAAACATCTAGTCATTTGTTCAAGCGGCCGTAGTTTGACCAGTGCTTCTGCCGCCCAGGTTAATTCCGTATGTAAACCATCTGTAAGAGTTGAAACTTTGAATTTTCCGCTGACTAACCTTTATTGTATGTTGGAAGCCCATTATATAAAAGGTGAGCTGTGGTTGGCAAATTGTACCGATTCGCTTATACAAAAAAATTGTAGAAATCTATAAATCTATTATATAATCTGGCTTTGGTTCTCGCCGATGGAATGAAGTAACTGGATAGCTGATTGAAAATGTCTAGAGGTCACCCGTAAGAATAGAAAAAAGGATAAAACTCTCGGCGTTGATCATTCCCTGGGGGACGGGTAATGCATTAAACTTCATTGAGCATCGTTGGAGTTGATTCGATGCATAACTGGCCTTTACAATGACTCGCGATAGTCTACCGATGTGTCGTGCCAGTGCTGGTATCCTTCCAGACTGTCACCCGTAACGAATAGTTCTTACTATTACCTTGGGAGAGCATGAAAAACTACTTCTCCGTATTCTGTCGAGGCAAAAAAAAACCTCAGAGTATGAGTAAATAACCTGTTGCCGTCTATCCGTGGTGAGATTTCATCACCTGTAATACCTGTTCTTCGAATGTGGTCATTAAATGGTTCGATTCGGGCGGCACACCCGTAGAGTATGCCATTCATGTCCGCTATGCTCTATGTACGCCTGTGTGTGTTGGAGTTCATACCATAGAGGGAAAGACAAAAGTTATCCAAGCTTTCGAATGAAGTCCTTTGGTTTTTCTATTTTTCTAGTTCCGTAAGTACCTAATTAAGTCCTGTCGGTAGGATGCTGGGTGGACGTACGCGTTGTTCGAGTTAACTAGGTGGAAGCGATTTTGAACCGAACCGATTCTCATGTATTTCGTATTCAATAGAGTTTTATTGGAAACTTTTGAATGAATCAATGGCATACGAAATTGAATTTGTATACACACCTGCACATGAATGTATGCAGATGAAAGTGGAAGGCAATCCATTGCTTCCATATGGAAAGGAATCCTCTGTATCCAGCTGCAGCTCAGGACAAGTAAACGATCTCCGTCCTCCTAGGGCTTTGCCATGAAGCTCCTCTACTAACCGAATCCAAATCAATTCGACACCACTATGCTCTCTTCTTCCATACTTTCGAAAATTGTAATTGTATTCACGATTAGTGTAAAATCTCTAAAGTTACCGATTGTTCTCGGACGTACTTTATCATTAAATGTATGAATGCCACTGAAGCTCTATGCTCTACTTTTTTCGATGATCTTTGCTTGTACATCATTGAAAAAGGATAAAAAGAATGAAGCCGTCGACACTGATCAATCGTTAGGAATGCGCCATGCGTTCGAGTTCATTAAGCATCGCTTGGAAGTGAGTGAATGCATATCTGGCCTTTACAATGACTGACACGCCGTGGATAACCGATGCAGTGCTGCTATCCTCTTAGATAAGTCTGGTACCAATTTGCCGACCTCGGAGGAATGGAAGGTTTGGCGGGTCAGGTGCGTGGGAGTCGATCGTATGTGTATTGCAGGGCGCCTCCGACCGTTGCGCCACACGCTTCCACTGAAAAAGGAGGGTGCTATGCAATTAGTTGCCCCTCTTCTGGAAGTACCAATACTAAAGCATCGATACCTATGGTTTACATTGTACTTAGTCCGTTCAGTGTTAATAACGATTTAGCCATTTTTTTGTGAAAATACTGTGTAGGAGCTGCTGAAATCAAAGGCATTCATTTTGTATTTGAATAAATCCATCTCATTTCATAACACGGTAACTAATCGATAAACATTCCAAACACTTGGTAGTTGATTACTTAAAACTAATTTAAAAAAGATTTTTAGAGGTAGCGAAACTAAATACTACTTCGCTAAACGTACTGTTATCGTAGTGTCGTAGTAATTTGCATAGTTTTAAACCCTGATCCCGACTAAAACCATTCGCAAAGCCCACGATTATCGATTAGTGGACGATAAATATATGGTAAGTAATCGATAAGTCGTGATCGTGCTAGTCTTGATGTTTGGTTTTCTGGAAAGATTTTATTGCCTTGTGGGACCACATCTCTCTATCTTTTTCCTCTATTGAGTTGATGTGATGCTTCGTCTGTGTTACACTTTTTGATCTCGTTGAAAGTATTCAGTGAAAGAGAATCTCCACACTAGGCAATCAAAGCAAGAATTTCGTGAAAGCATAAATACTTTAGAGCTTTAGTGGATGCTTATTTTGGTCAATTGCTTTTGTTTCTAGCATAATTTTGTGTTGAATCCGGTTCAGCATCGGTCAGCGATCCTTTAAAAGCAACTTGTACCAGTTGCAATTCATCGTTAACCATCGAATGACTCCAACAAGCACCAGACATGATTAAAGGGCTCCACTTGTTCTGGATCTGTCCAGTGCTGTCCAATGAGTTCGGTCTCCAGTTACTGGAAAACCATCGTACACCTCTTCTATGATGCCCACCTGGTCTTTAGTGTTTCGCAGACGAAGCAGTCATAAGTTAATTGCTTTTAAATATAATTATATTAATTACTAATTCATTTGCATAAGAGAATAATTAATATTAGTAATTAATATAATTATAGTAATTATTAATTATAGTAATTGATATAATTATACTTATAATTATTATACTTCCACGTGATTTCTGTGCGGTTGGTCTCTACGTGACATACTTAGTGGAAACCTCATAGAAAGCGGCTCTGAAGAAGGCGAAATCCGCCGAAACGTCAGCTTAATCGTGAACAAAGAATAGTAACACCTCGCGTTTGCTCAACAAAAATACGAAGAAAATCACTGTTAAGCGTTTCGCATGATTTTAAATCGATAAAAATCGATTATTGCTTTTTATTGACAGTAATTTTAGGGAAGAGAATCATGGCTTTATACGATATGAAAGAGTTGCCCCATCTGGTGAAACCGGTCGCATTGGTAATTCTGTATTTTTACTTTTACTTTCTTCATTTTTTTTTACCTGTTCTTCAAGTCTTGTTTAAGAAAAGGTCTTCTTACTGGGAATAAATCACCTAGAGCTACGGAGAATCCACCAGCTATTGATTCCTACTCTATCGCATTTTAAATCCATTAAATTTCTAAGGCTAGATAAATGATTGATCACTGGTTTGACAATGTGCTCTGAACAGGATAACCTCTGTATTGTTCCAATCAGAAATGAACATATATTTATCGGGGAAAAGCGCGGTCCACTAATGTAGGTACTTTAGCCTGTCTCAGATAGGGACATGGTTGCCATCCCACTTAGCCAATCCATGGCTAGATAACCTTACAATATTATAAGAAATGACAAGATTGTGAATCATTTGCATAAGAGAATTTCGTTTCAGATACTTGTCATCCTTCAAACGATATTCGTTTTCTCACCCGGTTATCGATCATTCGGATGGTTTGTCATTACGACCACAATTGTTGAGGTTAAACTTTTTCTTGTTTTCTCTCTAAATAGTGTTACGATTTGGTGAGGTTTTCGTTGAGCCGTAGAAAGCCTTAGTTCGCTAAGTAATCGCGTTTTTATTATAACAGCGACGATAATGCATCCGTTTTGCAGGATCTGATAGGACAAAGTAAGAATATTGATCAATCCACCTCGACAATCAATACGTAGCTTTCACTTATGTTTGGAAGCAGAATTTATGAATTTTCACAATTTACGAAATCAGTTATGTTAATCGCTTTGCGAGTAAAGCATAGACTCAGTGTTCGTTCAGAGCCGCAATTTGTAAATTCAAAACATGCATATTGATTAATCCGCTTCTGCAACCAATACCTAACCTATTCTTACCTTTGGAGGCGTCGTTTATCGAAAGCGAGTAGTTCTAGGAATGATTCGATTATTCAAAATCGAAGGGAGAAAACGTTTTGTCAGGGAATTGCAGTGTTATCATAAGGAAGGTACGACATCACTTGAAGATGTGCGTACTAGCCAGGATTTTTCGGGAAAAATAATGATGCTTTAGTACATTAACTGATTTCCACAGATTACTAGGGTTTTTTCAGCAAAAAATAATGCATCAAAAATCAACATTCAAATTGACTAGTGAGAGGCGAACTATTGATTGGCCTATTAATGAATGTATAAGTTGTTGAGGTATTAATTGATTAAGGGACGTTTTAGTTGTTGGTTTGCGTTACGCTAGTGCTTGCGATGGTACTGAACGTCACAGCACTCTACAATGCTCCCGTGTGGCCAATGGCGGTATCTCTTCACACCGAATTATTAATTGAACAGTCAATCGATCATTGTCCTGTGTCATCTTTACTTTTAGGAAATGACCATCAGTGCTGCATTTGTCGTATTCCAAGTTATCAACTTCTTCTACTTTATTGTGAATATGTTCAAGCACTTCAATGTGTTCCTATTATTCGGAATGGTGAGTGCTCTATCGCCATCAATTTTTAAAAGGCCGCACTTAATTCAAAGACGTTACGACGAGTTTACCACCAACAAAATGAATGAAGTTTGTGTAAGACACAGCGCCCACGGATTTTTACTCGTCACTGCCTCATGAGGCTGCACCGAATTTTTATCCGTTACAGACCTCCTGATTTTCCGATAGCAGATGATGGGTTATTCGTAACTAGAGAATTTGAGGTATTGATAGCAGCACAGAGGTATAGAAGAAACATCGCTGTATCGTCTTATGCGTATGAATTATATATATATATATATATATATATATATGCTGCTTTACTACGTGTTACTTACTTGACTGGTTGTGCGGTCCCCGGCATAATCTCCATTTTTCGGAGGTTTGCTAATTAAGTCACTGTGGTTCCCTGGAATCCCGAAGTCAGCTTGGCCATAGGTCTTCACCACCACAGGCAGTCGTAGCCCTTGTGGATCAGAGGGAGATTCGCCACCATGCGATTTTGATACCAGGACGGTGGTGTATCTTGGTATTGGTTTACTCTTATCTAGGCTTCCTGATGGGAACGCCGGACTTATTCTCAGCTTGGCAGACGCTGCTAGAGGATAAATCCTCCGCTGTATATCGCAGTCCGACACCCAGGAACACCTTCCGGCCACGACGAGGCAGTGAACCGTTAGGAGGTTGCTGCATGTTGCTACCGTACTTCCCACAAGCACATTGCCATCAGCATTTCGAAGTATTTTGCAACTTATACTATGTCCATTTCCGCATTTTTTTGCACCTGCGCATTTCTATTCCTTATTTTTTTTTATTACATGACCCGTCTTTATATCTACTGTGCGGATTCCAGCACTCCTCGTGTTCGATTCTTTTCCTCGCAACTACCACCCACGGAAGTCTTCGAACTTTCCTGCATGTGGCGTTGATTGCTGTTCGAGGGTTTTTTTTCGTCTTGGTCATGAATGTCGTTGAATCCTTGTCGAGTATATTCTCCGTGAAATCTCGAGACGGATGTGCTGAAGGTCCTTACGTTGATTGGCGTAAGTGAGCTCTGATCCCAGACAAGTTTGGTACAAATTTGCAGGCTCAGGAGGGATGAAAGGCGTTTTGGACCCGAGACGGAGTTGAAACAGCGCCTGTATGGGTTGCGTCATCCCTATTATGAACATGATGAACGGGTTTAGAGATAAGGCTGAAGAATAAAGCTGATAGTGTTGGTCGAACACTGAGGGATGCATTGTGAATTTGACTTCATTAGCCATCGCTGGTGGTGAATTAATGGATATTTGGCCCATAAAGTGACTTGCGGTTGCCTACTGACGTTTCAATTCGGTGCTGCTATTTTTTTGGCTAAGTGTGGTAGTACTAATTTTCTGACTCCGAAACGGTGGAAATCTTGGTAACTCGAAGACGAAGGATCGAAAAGGCGACCACATGTGTATTGCAGAGTGCCGTCTTGGTTGAAGACGTCGCAAAGTGTTAACTGATGATGCAATTGGCTTGTTGACTTTGTATTCTACTAATCAAGGATCTCTGTAGTGAAGAATATCTCAAGCAAAGCTTCTAGGTACAACTTGAGAAGCATAGTGACTAGGTGCATAAACCATTCATCACTCAGGATAATCGAATGTTCTTCAACAGTTCTGTTCTCTATGGAATATTGAGATAGCTCTTCCTCACATAAGTCTGGTATCAATTTCCTCACCAGGGTGGTGGAAGACTCGATGAATCCGCTGCCTGGTGGAACCTGCGACTGCGTGCGTTGGGATGTTTGCGTAATGAATGTGATCGCTACTACTGCGCTGTCCTCTCTCGTACTTATTTTAGTATTTAATCATTTACAATTAAGCATGCCCATATTAGATCAGAGGGTAATAATCACCACATCCGATGCAATAATGAAGATTAGAGGTTGATCTGTAACACAATGCTTAGGGTTACCCTGCAGCATGAATGTGGTCGTTGTTTGACGTAGCCAAAGTTCATCGAGTCTTTAATACTTCCCAGATCGGAAAATTGTTGCGAGCATATTTCTAGGAGCATAGTAGCACTGACTTGACACAGATTGGCCACTGCAAGTCACTGTATCGGCCAGAAATGCATTCAATCACCTGTAATATTGCTTGATGAAGTCGATTGCAAGGTCGGTCCCTGAGAGACTGATAAGCGCTGAATGCTTTATCCTTTTTATTCCTTAACTACGATTCATTATCACCTGTGACCTGTCGTCTCCCTGATCGCTGAGTCATTCGAGCGGGCATCAATAGATCTTTCATTTCTCCCTATCGCGTGCAAGAGTTAGCCAGTGAGTTCTGGCCGCTCTAAGAACTTGTTGAGCACCACAATTTTTTCTGGAGTTTTTATGAAAAACTTTGACCATCGGATCGGTGGTCTTCCTGCAGTGCGTTTTACATCCTGAGGAATCCAGTCACTAATGGTTCATATCCAGCGGTTATCGTTCATAAGCATTTCGCGTCCGGCCCACCTTATCATGAACAGTTTGACGTATATAACGGCGTCTTTAATTTTTGGTCTGTGACGGATATCAGAGCTCTGGATTCCTTATTTCATTTGCGTGATGCGGAATACTCTTGCTATCCTTCAACTGGGCGTCCGATAACCTGAGTGATCTTTCATTCTGTTTATTTAGCGACCAATTTTTTGGCCCGTATGCTAAGGCAGAGAGAATTGTGGGGACGAACGTGAGAGTTGGGTGTTGTGCTTTTTGCTCTGCTCTTGTGCTTTTTACAACTCTTTCTGTTCTTGAAAGGTTGCCAACCCCCTCCGTACCCCTTGCTCAAATCTGGGGCTTAGTCGTTCATAATGTTGTTTTCCCAACCTAGATAAACGTAACTGAAGCATTCGGAGGTATTCTTCTGCTGAGCATGAGTAGGTTGTATGAAACCAATCCTTTCCTTATGAAGATCGTTTCTATGAGATTTAGTCGGAAACTAATCCTTCCACAGGCTTCATCAAAGTCGCCTAGCATTCGTTCGGCTTGGATAACACTTGTTGTTTGTCAACACATATAAGAGCGATATCATCAGTAAGTCGAAGATGTAGTTGCCAACCGTTTATTTTCGCTCACATATTGTCCCACTTCATTCCAGTATTCACATGACATTCAAGACGCTGACAGTAAATATTTTTGGCGTGGTCGTATCGTCTTTCGTAACCACTCTTATTACGTCGATTTTAATATGGCTGTAGAATAGGGTATTTTGATTTTGAAATTTCTATATAGTTCACAAATATTTTTTATATACTGAATAGGAATACCCTCGCTAGCTGTCCTTCATCTCCCAGCCTTTGCATCTCCGACCATAACTGCAGTCCTTCCCTTTTCAAGATCTTCTTTTATCGCCTGACTGCACTGTTTTGCAAGTTTGGACATGAGATGACTGTTCCTGTGATTCGTACGATTCAACGTTGACGTATCAGCTTGAGTGTTTTTCGTGACAGGCGTCTCTCGGGTACTTTCGAACTCTCAGCTTTCATAGCACTAACGTGAAGACGTCGAACAAACCGCTTGTATTTCTTATCAATGTCATCAATAACGGCAATGGCTTCATGACAGCTTACTAATTAACTGAATAAATCCCAGTTTATGGTCGTTTTGTGATCTCGTTTTTGAACTTAACGACTTTTCCTCTTTTCAGCGAGAAATGAAATCTTGCACGAAGGGGGCGATGGCCTGATCCTGTGTGGTATTTTGGGACAACGGCGACATAGGTTAAGCAAAACCTTTGATTTACTACAAAGTGGTCTGTTTCGTTATGGTAGTCTCCATCGGGACACTCTCACGTCCACCGTTTAGAGCGGAAGTTTTGGAATTGCCCGTTACCATGGTCATGGTCTTCGTGATAAACTCAAATAGCCACTCACCGTGTTCATTCCATTTTAACCAGTGGGTCTTAATGTGAGGTTCGTCATATGTTCTTCTGGGTCCAATCTTATCATTAAAATCTGCGATGGTGACCTTAAGGAATGTATTCTCTATAGAACTTCTCCAAGTCCATACATAACGCTTCGACTTCGTCTTCGCCATGGTTTGATGTCAGCGCGTAAATGACGAAGGTTGTCAAAGCCAGTATTGTATCCACGTCTCTTCAAGCGCAAACGTTCGATTCGGCTGGTTGATTTTTGAAATGAATCGATGTTCATGGCCAAACTCGTGTTGATGAGAATGCCGACGCCGCAGACTCCTCTGTTGTGGCACGTTCCAAAAAATGGTTCTTTTCCGGTGTCATGGACGGTATTGAATGGGTGGCGTTTCTCGTTTTAGCTCGTCCGGTAACGTCGTACTTCATCCTTCCTGCCTGCATGATCAAGTTTTCTGTCGAGTGGTCACATGCAAGTGAGGGTGACTTGAAGATGCAATTCGTTTCCTTAGTCCTTTGCTGTTTAGAAAGCATAGAATGGCTTCAGATTTTAGCAGCCTCTGCTTACTTGTCACGTAACACTGCCGTATCGTTTGCCACTTCGGGGTCGGCTCAGTGAGACCTACTTGTTTTACTATGTTTATCATCTGATAGCTACTAAGCTGTGAACGTGAGGACTTCGTATACTGACAGGTAGCTTGCCAGTCTTTCCCAGAGTATATGAGGAGCTCATTTGTTGGAGGCGACTCCTAACCTTCCATGTGCTTCCCAGTCACTTGCTTGTAGGCTTTTGGTCGAATTGTTCCTTATAATATAATCCACATTAACGAGAACACACCCACGCACCCATGCATAATTAGCTCACCGTAAACACAAAAGGTATGTGCCAAATTAGTGCAGCAGAAAGAAAGAGTCTGTCCCTTGGATTTACTTCTGTTTCAAAAAGGCATAATATCGCTTTTCGTCCTCGGTTAACCCTCTATCCGCCACCTAAAAACGCACCACGTTCCCCAACGACTAATCGGCGTGAGGTCGACGCCGCTTTGATCCGTGGTTAATTCTGTTCATGATTCATTATAGCTATTAGAATTGGAATAATAGTAAATTGCAGTCAAATAACTAGTCAATGAATTTGCCAGAGAAAAAGTCCTTTGCACTTTTCTACGTTCAGAATAGCGCTTTTCTCACTGCCAAAATAAATTATCGAAGAAAGTGATCCCATGAAAGTCAAACCGGCCACTCAGCTCGTCACCACCTGCCCCCCGTTGTGGATGTGTTAATGAGAACACCTCGGAAGATGCTTCTACAACATATTTGGTTGTCATGATTCTTTTAGATTATTCAGTTAGCACGAGCCTTTTTAATGAAGATAACTAACTACAGAAGATTCCTACATGCCACATTTTATTGGTATATTTTCTTTTGGACGAGTTCACACATATCGCTTGATACTCTACAGCTCATGTAATCCAAGCAAAACGTCCCCGTGCCAAGATGAAGAAAGTAAAAATAATAGTCCAGCAATCCATCTAACAAAAATATTGGTTTGCAATTCACTGCGTGCTTGCCGATATAATGTCGATTGGTGCAGGATGGATTGTCCGTTGAGAAACAAAATATTAGCGACGGATAGTCACTGTGAACAACAACCGCCCTGTATAAACAAGCGCTGCTAGGGAGGTTGCCTCATTCAAGCGGTGCTTCACTGTGGAAGATCCGTCTCGTACGACAGCGAATACACTACATCGAGAGTACGAACGACTGTGGACGGATCATCGACTCGGATCATCGCCTCTGATTAGGACGAAGACGTCGAAGCGTTAGCCCAACAAATATCTTTATCAATCTCGTGTTACCTTAGTAATCCGAGAAGATATTGATTATTAAGGCTGAGGTTAAACGACAGTCGGTTTGAGAAATGTAGAAAAATGTTCAAAATTTATAAAGCTGCTTAGGAACTACATAGAAGCCCGAGTTGACCGTGATAATAAGTGCAAGTATATAGTGGCGCCGATTACTGTTATCAGACAAGACAGTACGTTTGTCTACCGTTGAAAGCACGAGTCGTCAAAGTACGGTCATCTTAAGGTTAAACCTGACACTCGTACACGTACCCAAACGCGATCGATACACATCACTTATAGTCGCAGGTTTCATGAAGTGCAACTGAACACGTAAACTGTCATCAAAATGTTGCATATTTCAAAAAAAAAAATTAAAACTTCCTACATATTGTATTGCTGCATCGTAATTACTGCCTTGCTCTACCATAGATATAATTTTCTTTCGTTTCGCCTATCTCTCAGCTAGCTCTATCGGTCAGTGCCACCAGCAATAACCCGTCAACGGGGTTGATCTTCGGAGCTCACATCGGCATGAAACCTAGCTAAGATGAGGCTGTAGTTGAAAACACGATGTGGGCTCCCCAGATCAGTTTCGTTGGCGGGTGATTGCTGATGGCACTGATCGACAGAACTAGCTGAGAGAAAGGCGAAACGAAGGACCCTCATGGTGTGGTGGTGAACGCGTTACTCCCCGTAAAAGACAATAGCGCGTTCGTTCCCCACGGCAGACATCTGTAGTCCAGAGTTTTGCAATATCTCGGCATGGTCGTGGTTGTATTTCGCATAGTACCCTGCCGTAAAAATTGGAGTAAGTAAAAAATAAAAGCAGAACATAATTTTTTTTGAATTTTCAACAAAGTTACGTTGGAACAACTCTGCCACAGTTTGTTTCCCACAGGTTTTTTTCCTTGAAAATGACCAAGTGAATCACATCTCCAGGCCGAAGCCGCACTGCTAGGGGTCGTCTGGCTCTTCAACGCCTACCAATGGTTCCGTGCACGCACGCCTGCCACGTCCGCCTCCAACGGAAACCAGCCGGGGGGCGGAGCACAGCCACGATTTGCCACGCCCAGTTATCCAGCTGGCGTCAATCCGGCATGAAATCGACTTATCGCTTCATCGATCGGATCATCGTTTGTTATAATCACCATTATATATGACGATTATATGTAACTAAATTCTGTTTGTAGGCATATTCATACCTTTTACTGATGATTTTTTACCACATGTTTATTAAAACTGATAATAAATACGTGAACATATCGTTAGGACCCCGATCAATCGATAATTGAAGCAGTACGGGGAGTTAGGTTGTGTGTCCATCGATCAATCGGCTGCTGACATTTATTCTTAGGGGTCAATAATCGATAATTGATTACTGGAAAAATTTGTCGCTAGGCTTATTTCCAGATGTAAATGAACGAGCTTGGAAGGTTGTTAGTCGAAACTACTCATTGTTCAAAATAGCAATGAACAAGTGTATGTGGAAATTCAAAATGGAATAAACCGTCATTCCAATACTCGGCAATCAAAGTACTTGAAATTTTTACCAGTTTGACAAAAAAATAAGCAAGGTAGTGAACTTTTTGTAGTCTCATACATCCAAAACTTCAATGATGTAGGAGTTATAACCTATTCGAAATTTTGGCACTTGATACTTGAATGGCCCGTCCTCACTGGTTGTGCGGACTCCAGCATAACCTCCATTTTCCGGAGATTTGCTGGTAAGCCATTGTGGTTCCCTGGAATCCCAAGGTCAGCCTAGCCAAAGCCTGCCCCAGGTCTTCACCACCGCAGGCAGTCGCAGCCTTTGTAGATCTGAGGGAGATTTGCCATCATAGGACTTTGATATCGGGACGGTGGTGGATCCTTGTACTGGTTTACTCTTAATAGATTTTCTTATAGAAACGCCGGACTCCTCAGCTTGGGAGACCTTGCTAGGAGATGAATCCTCCACTGCACGTCGCACCCCGACAGCCGAGATGATCACCCAGCCACGTTGAGGCGGCAAACCATTTGGAGGTACTCGAAATCATTCAGGAGAATCTCCAGTGTTGTCGCAATACCTTTGTTGGAACGAAGATTCTCTCATTTTTGTTTTATCTTTTGATATGAGCCAGAATCACGTGGTGTTTGGATCTCGACATTTCTTCCATTCAATCCGTCCCCTTGCTTTCATTATCCAGTACGTTTTACATGAATATCGTTGAATGTTCGTCGTGCGTTTTTCTCTTTGGAGTCCTGGGATAACTCTGCTAAGGCCTTCTCAGGTTTTCATTGCGAGGGGTCACCAGGGTTTGACAATCGGAGAAAGCTTTCTCAAAACACGTCAGGCACTAGATCGCCGTCCCTGTGGGTATGGAGAACTTGGTTAGCGCAGTACAGGCGCAAGCAGCTGCCGCACGTGTAGTGAAGAAATTTGGGAAATGCTTTATTGTTCGAATATTTGAATATCATATCATGGAGCTAATCAACGTAATAATTTAGAAGAACAAACTTTATAAACTTACTAAATAAAGTTCAATAAATAAACACATCCTTCTGAATGTTCAAAATGATTCAGAATTACGCGGTATAACCTTGGCTTAAGGCGACATGTCCCTAATGGTAGCTTCGTTTGTCTAAGTGTAGTGGAATGCAGCTGACTTAACAATGTTGGAACGGTTCTTATCTACTTGGCTTACTATCTAAAAAAGAGAAAAAGTCGCTATTTGATTTGTATCCTCCCAACGGTTTACCGCCTCATCGTGGCTCGAGGTATTCCTGGGTGTCGGACTGCGATGTACAGCGGGGGATTCGTCTTCCCGACGAGTCCCCCAAGCTGAGAAGGAGTCCGGCATTTCCATCAGGAAGTCTAAACCAATACCAGGATTCACGACCGTCCTGATATCAAAGTCGAATGGTGGCAAATCTCCCTCTGATCCACAAGGGCTGCGACTGCCTGTCGTCGTGACGACCTGGGCAGACTTTGGTCAGGCTGTCCTCGGGATTCCAGGGGACCACAATTGCTTAACCAGCAAATCTCCGAAAGTGGTGATTATGCTGGGGCCAGCACAACTAGTGATGAAGGGCCGTTCAAGTATCAAATATCAAGTATTTGATTTGTATAAGTTAAGCTCAAGCGCGTGAGATCGCAAGACGAAAATTCTTCTTCTCCTCTTATCTATATGCCAATAACAAAAAGGGATGAAAACATACGGTGCTTGGTGTTGATCAGTGCTTCAATTACGTGTGGTGGCCTACCAGTATATCATCTCTGTCAGAACGATGTGGAGATGTTTGTAAAACGTGAACCCTTGATTACTCTTTTCGGGAGATAACATGTTGCGCACGGAACCACTGACGCCCTCGTTTCGCATTTCTCTCAGCCAGTGTTTTTACCCTAACAATGCCATCAGCAATCACTCGTCAATGGGAATGAGCCTTTGGAAAGGGTAATCGCGGTTCGATCCGCCTTGGTGTTCAAGTTTTGCAAATATCTCAGCATCATTGTGGTTCTATTTCATACAATACCCTAGAATGAAAAAAATAATGTCAGTGGGTAAAGGATTGCAGGAATGGTCATTTTAAGCAGCAGCATCAAGCCAATAATCATGTTGTTGTTTTCAGAGCACTTCTAACCACTCTGCTATGTATGAATTTTATCTTTGGGAGTTAATTAATTGAAATGGACACAGGTAGCCTTCCTAACGGTGAATCATGCTGGCGTTTCTCGACATAAGTTCTTTTCATTGATGGGCCAATGAAACAAGCTCTCCATTACCCCGGATCCTTAATATATCTAATCCGGGGCTTTTTTTTACTAGTTAACACGTGCTAACGCCGGATGGTAGTGTTTCGTGCGTACATTTGGAACCTTGCGACTGTGTAACTACCAGTATCGCTTAAACACTGGATTTTCGGATGGAGACGTCGAGCTACTCACTTTGGGATGCCGTGCTTGGAGTTGAATCCCTGCGTTGCACATCACAGTTGAGCATAACCAAGAACATCAACCAACAACGACTTGGAAGTGAAACATTTGGAGGAGAGCGGGGTGGTTCACGTTTGAACATGGGTTTAAGTCCGAAGACTGTCACCCAAGGATGAGTTATGCATGGGAAATCAGTTCTATGTTCATATTTTGTCACCTGTGATGATGTTTGCAGCACACCTTTTAAAGTGATGATCACTGAGGAGGAGGATGGCGCGCCCATTAGTAGCATTATTTATTCTAGCCTTTGTTATATATAGTACTTTGACAGATTTTGGAAAACAATTCGACACCAATGTCCTTAATTTCTTGTCTAAGCACAAATTAGAGCTTAACACCTAAGCTCCAATGTGAGTTGATTTTCGCTCACACGGTGTGAAAATAACGGCCGTTTTCAAATATAAATCAACATAGCTCGATTCAAACTGAATATAACTTATGGAAAAAAACACCAAAACTTTATCAATGAAATACTAAAATACAATCACAATGATGCTGAGATATTTGAAACTCCAGACTGGAGATGTTTGCAGTGGGAAACGAACGCGGTATTACCCTTTCTAGAGGCTAATGCGTTCACTACCGCACCATGCACGCCTTTCGTTTCGCCTGTCTCTCAGCTAGTTCTATCAATCAGTGCCATTAGCAATCACCCGCCAACGAGATTAATCTGGAAAGCTAAATCGACATCGAGCCCAGTTTAGCTAAGGTTGTAGTTGAAATCCTCGCAACAGTCTATCGCCTCATCGTGGCTGGGAGATGTTTCTGGTTGTCAGGCTGCGACGTGCAGTGGACGTGATTCATCCCCTAGCAGGGTCTCCTAAGCTGAGAAGGAGTTCGGCGTTTCCATAAGGAAGTCTACTAAGAGTAAACCAGTACAAGGATCAACCACCGTCCCGGTATTAATGTCGTATGATGGCAAATCTCTCTCTAATCCACAAAGGCTGCGACTGCCCGTGGTGGTGAGACAGACTTTGGCCAGGCTCACCTCGGGATTCCAGGCAACCATAATTTATAGCAACTATTCCCAGAATAGTTTCTATTTCTTCCTATATATATTTGTATCCTTCTACTACTGTATGTTTTAGTATTAAGGGTCATATCCACTGTTTCTCAAGTTGCCTAGCAAATGTCGTAGGACGTAAATATTTCGATCCCATCCTTAGCAACTTCGATCGCTGTAAACAGTCTTGTTATGCAAACCTATTTTTGCAATCTGAACTCATTGTTTGTTGTTACTGTCCAAAAGTCTCCACGCGTACAATAACAAGAAGGGCATGAGGATGTTTGCGAGAGCAGTCTTCCGCCAGATGATATGTGGTTTTGAGAGGATATGGAGACGGTAGCCGATGAATGTTTTCGGTAAAGATGCTGGACCTGTGCCAAATACCGCCTTCTCCAGAAGCATATAAATAGGTTCGTTAATTATTATCCAAGTTCACTCGTGTCGAAGTTCGTCGGCTCTTTAGATCTGTACCGTATTGGTCTCGTGTGTCACCAATCGCAGTTGTTAAGTCATACAGCACGTAGTCATTATTGTACATTAACTTCATCATATCATTGTTAAATGGCAGTTGCGAATTGTACATTAGTTTAGCATCACCGTCACTACGTCACGCTTTCCATCAGCCCAGTGTATCCTCATCATCATCATCCTGATTCTCATCCTCTTGTCAATGTCCATTGTTTATCAATTGGTCTGCGGTGTATTGTCAGTAGCGGCGGCTATCCTCAAATGCGTTCTGTCTGAAACGCCATCGGTGGCATGTACCATTCCTACCACACGGTACGCCATGCGTACAAGACCGCAGCCGGCCAACTTCTGCTGTGTATTTGTTAAGCCGCTATAGGCTTATCATTTCTTAGTCGTTATCTTTCTCGTCTATAATCTCTTAGGCAATGGTGGTGCCCATCGATGCTCAAACTTCACGTTGCAGACATATCGTTATCCAAGAGCAGCCGCCTGACCGTGTTCCGCAGATATCCCATCTCGTTCGTATAGTCACTTCCACCATCGATGCTTAGGTAACTTGCTATCCTCATCGATTAATGTGCAAGTGCACCCAGCCGCTCTATGTACGATCCCTAGCTTAGTCTAATTCAGGGCTCGTCTGCATCTCACTTTATG